AAAAAGACTCAGGATCCACAGACCAGATGTCAGCCCACAGCAGAAGAGATTGAAGTTGAACCGTATACCACTGTGATGTGTCGTCTGATGACCTAGGTGAGCCCATTGATGAGTCTAAACACAATAAAATTGAGAAGAAGAAAAAAAAACTCATAACCATAATTTAAGATTCCAAATATTTTGCTGATGCTTATTATTGAGCTCGTAATTTTCAGTAGCAGATCTATTTATCGAAGCGCATAACAAATTGACCGAGTTACTCGAGGAGGAGGCCGGAGGATTTGATCGTGCGCCAACTAGAAGGCATATCAATTCGGTCCCATTGGTGTTCGAAAAGACGACCAAAGAAATCCAGACGATTCTAGTTGAATCGGTGGCCAGGAAAGTGAATCTGCTACATGAGATGTTATCCGATTCGATCAGCCTTCAAAAGCTCCATACTGCTCACCTTCGAGACGGGATCAAAATTCTCCAAGATATCGAAGAGACTGTTGAACAAATCAGCTCCTTAGTCCACTCATCTTGGACATTACGTGATCGCAAACCAGGCTGCGGTTTTCAAATTGAAGAGGGACCTGAAGAACTCCTAAAACGATATAGAGCTGAACGAGTCCAATCGAGACTGGCCGATAAGTTCTACAGCCTGGGCGATCTACTGGAATCTCACTTTGCTCTACTGCCCCTACCTACACACGGTCACGAACCCATGACGAGAGTGGAAGCGAACGTGAAATTATTCCAACTGATGTCTTGTATTGAGAATGAGAAGGGGTGTACAGAGGATCTGATCGAGGTGTATGAGATCTTGCCGCTTGGGCTCGTTCAGGATCACTGTGAGCGTCTGGCTGATGATATCGGTGATTTATTGGAGGAGTTGCTCAAGTTTTTAAGCCTTCACAAAGATATACATCGCCAACCACTCCGAGAATTCATCCCAGTTGTCAAGCTATCCAGACTGTTCTTCAACAAGATTGCCGCACCAACCAGCAACCAATCCCATATTCCAATAGCCAACATGACCCTCGCTCAGCTCTTGGATCTCATCAGTCTCATACAATCTATCCCAACCAAACTGGAGAAGTTATATGGCCAAATCGAGTTCAGATACCAGCCTATGAACATCGATCTCCGAAGATTTGCCAATCTCAACACGCTTTTCCAA